TTGAGTTAACATTTACACTTTTACACTCAGGTATAAACATGGTTTTTATCAATTATAGAATATTTTTATAATTTACTGTATGTATCTTACTAACTTACAAATGCTTAACATACAAACACACAAAAAAAGTACCATAGATACAAAAATACAGTGGATCTTTGTATGAAACAACCAAAAAAACAGTTAGGCATACAGCAACAGAAATATTTTAACGAGCAAACGTTACAAAAATAGGCAAACAAACACAAACAAACCGGAAAACAAACAGATATAAACAAACAAACAGACAGAAAGACAACCTAATACATCATCACTTGAGCATATTAAATGCCTTTTCCTTCAAATTCACGTATTTACGACCGTTTTACGACTTTCGTCGGCACACGCACAAACACCACGCTCATAAATACACAAACATACACACTTACATACACACACAAACATACATATACACAAACATACACACACAAACAAACATACATTCACAAAAACACACGTAAATATACACCCGTACACAGACAAACACACACACACACACGTACATATATGCTCACACACAAGCATAAACAACACCACACCATACATGCATACACTCACAAACATACAAACAGTTGCAGACAGAAATGTACTCAGATATACAAACGCGCGCACAAAAACATACACGCACACACAAACACACACACCAACATCCACATATGTACATCAATTTTTTTTCTCTCTGCTGTTTTATGTGCTAAACGTTACGTAACTCTCTCCTTAGAAACAACCGTTTTGAGAGTTAAATGTATGGCTGTGTATGCGTGTGTCATGTGTGTGTGTGCATGTGTATTTGCGTGTGTGTGCATGTGTGTAGGTTAAGGTGTATATTATAACTACATCAAAATATTATTTGTAAAATATATAAGATACTTATAAACACAATATATCTGTAATTTAGTTTCTAATGAACTAGTGAAAAGAGAAGTTGAAAGATGATGTATGAGAATTGAATGGTCGTATGCAAAGCAGGAACGTCATTATTTTCATTTGCTATCATTTCTATTGAATATCTATCTTTAGCATCGTGTAAAATTTTTTTTTACTTCATAGTCTCAGGTGGGCCTTTGAAATCTCAATTTCATAATAACGCAGACATCATGAGGCAAATTTACTGTAATACAGTAGTAAAAAATATTATTATGTTAACTTATAATAATTCATTATACAATAATAATAATAACAGTAATTATAAGAGATAATAATAATAATAATAATAATAATAATAATAATAATAATAATGATAATAATAATAACAGCAACAATAGTAACAATGCTGATGGAGATGAAGACGACGACGATGACGACGACGACAGCTGCTTCCACTACCACCAGCACCGACCGTATTATTATGGCGACAATTAAAATTCTCGCTTTCAATAACTTTATTAGTCTTACATAAATACCAATGGAAACAATAAAAAATAATGATCATCTACGTTACGAACACGCACACGTACGTACATATACACACGCACATACATACTCACATACACGGAGACAGATACACAAACATTCATTTATATCCACATGTTCAACAACATAATAAAAATCACGTATCCATACGTATGCGTACAATTGTAACCAAATACACACACACGCACACGCACACACACACACACACACACACACACACATGAACACATGTAACGATACACGAGTTCAGGTAACATATAATAAATAGCCATGATAAATGCATCGCTATAAATCATTTACATGCAACGCATTCACAAACGCAAATTCACGGGCTTCAAACACAGAAACACGGACACAGACAAACACGCAAATTAATTTTTTTGTGAGTTTAGAACAAATAACAAATTTTTCGCGCAAACACACACACTCACACACAGACACGAGCCAATTCAATGCAAACATAAACCAGCCATATTTATCGAATCCGAATTAATTTGAAGAAAACATAAAAAATTATTACGATGTTTACGCAGGCATTCGCTAGATGGCCAATAAAAATAAACACCACAGTTTGCGCATTTGTTTACTCTCAGGATGATATTTTGGACACAGAGGGTTAATATGGTCAACGTTTATGATACGCTCGTTCTTAATTCGCTCGCTAAGCTTCTAAAACATTTCAGTAGCCAACTGTCTCTCTGTATTTCTGTCTAAGTGTCTCTCTGTCTGTCTGAGTGTCTCTCTGTCTGTGTATTGTATGTGAGTCTGTGTGTTTATGTATTTGTGTGTATATATTTCTGTGCGTGTATGTGACTGCATCTACGACGCATTTATGTGTTTTGTATTAAAAGTATGTCTTATACAAATTATAAACATGAAATATTGATTAAAAATGGGCAACTAGGTGTGGAATGTGGTCTCAATCAGGGCGTCAATCGCCCTTGAATGTTGGCGGCGAACATCCTCCCTTCGATCAACTTTTAAGTTGATTTAGAGTTTTCTACACTTAATAAAAAGGGTGAAACCATTACCTATATTGGTATTGATAACCACAAAAATTAAAATAGTTTCAACCAGTTTTTTTTTATACAAAAAACTTTTCCTTCCTAACTTAAAGCGAAAACTAATGCCCCCTACCCTCCTTCTTTAAACGTCCTTGGACCCACCCTTGGAATTAATACAAATAAATTTTAGATTACAAAAATATATAAACATATTTACACATACCGGTTGAAATAACTGTTAACAAACAAACAAACAAGCAAACGAACAAACAAACAAACAAACATGCACATACAAATTACAGAAAGATTTTTGCGTGCATTTATTACGATGTGTACATAAGACTAACTAAGGCACGTGCAACTATTAATAAGGGTACACACATGAACACATCCTTATACAAATTGCATAGGATTATGTATGTGTTTGTTTGTGTTTGTATGTGTATGCATGTGTAAATGTATGTCTTGAGTGTTTATGCAATTGGCTTTATATGACGAGTTAAGTTTATTATTATAAATATAGCTTTTAATGATTAATAATTGAAAATTTTAATATATGAATAGAGGTTGGAGAACATGGGGTGACATTGATAGAGTGATCTGAAGGGAGAAGCCTGTTGTTGAATTTCATAAGATAAGAAACACGCAGAAATGGTTATCACACTTCACAAACGTGCGTGACGAATCTTTAATAAGTCGCAATTTACACTGGAGGAAGGAAATAAAAAAATGTCCTTACACATTTCTTTGGATGCGAAAGGTCAAGGCACTTAATTGTTTCAATTAATACAAAATGTGTGCATCTAGTTAGAAACGTTTGCGTCATTTTGTCCTTTTGTATGTATGCGTTTACATATTTATACGAAAAATATTTATACAAACACACACATAACCAAACACGCAGACACTCTCACACACAAACAAATATACACACAAATACACGTACGCACACGCACACACACATATAAATATATATATATACATACATACATACATATATATACATATATACATACATATATATATATACCTATAGTCAACGAAAGGATTAATCTTGTGAAACATTGTTGGGCAACTTTACGGTTCAACAACCAGGAGCACTTGAATCATGTTTGTATATGTTTATATTTGTATGTATGTATGAATGTTTGTATGTTTGTTATGTATGTATGTATGTTTATGTATGTATGTATGTTTATGTATGTATGTATGTATGTAGGTATGTTTGTATACTTGTATGTGTTTGTTTATATTTAAATGTTTTGGCAGCAACTTATTGTTGGTATGCCTATGTTTTTTGTGCGTATGTGTAGTATATACGTATGTATAATGCGCGCATATTGATGCAAAAGTGGTTTCGTCCGTATTTGATCATCTTGTTTAAACAATTTCATATAGTACACAAGCACGGAATATTAAAGATGATCTGATAATGGTAATAATGAAAATATAGTGATAAAGCCCTGAGATTGTCTTAATTGACAACAAATCATTTACATTCATTAATGATAATGAGATGATGTATATTAGGTAATGATAAGAGTAGCAGAATGATAACGAAATGATAAGAGTGGTTAAATTGACGATGACGTCAATAAATGAATAACCTTATGTTAAACACGCGACCAAATAACACTGAAGTTGTTGTTGGTAGGTAGGTTAGCCCGCATCACATGTAACGCAGCAACTGTTGTTTATCCACACGTGTGCTCTGCTGTGTGTTTAACTTTGGTGCATGTCTGTGTGTGGTGAATGTCTGTGCGAATGTGTGTTGTATGTGTGTGTGTGTGTGTTGTGTGTGTGTGTTTATGTGTGTGTGTTGTGTGTGTGTTTATGTGGGTGTTTGTAAGTGTGCGTGTATATGTTTTTATGATAGATGTTGTAAAGTGTATTTAAAGTGGCCATAATCAGTATCACTGATTTTCGCAAATCAATATCTGAGTGACAACTATTCTAAGGACCTATCTACAGTTTTGATAAACTTCAATATCATTATAACTATCATCTTGTTCATCGGCATCATCATCATCATTATTTTTACAATCATCATCAATATCATCATCATTATCATCATCATCGTCCTTTTCCTCATCACCGTCACTCATTATTGAAATGCGAACCAGATGGTCTGAACGCTGAAAAATAGCAATTAATACGGATTTGTTGGGCGCCATATAATCACTCTTAAAATATCGGCGCTATTCCATTTTGTGTCTTTGGTAATGTCATAAAATTTCGGAAGAACAAATGACCGATTAAGTGTTATGTTTGAAATTGTTTGGAAAATGTTTTGTTAGTAATTTTTTTTTATTTTGTTTATGTTTTGTATTTTGTATTATTTTGCATTTGTTGAGATTTTTGTAAAAAAAAAATGTTGAGAAATGTGTAGTTTAGTACGTCCTTATGTAGTGTTAAGATTTTCTAATTTCACTCGATTATGCGTTTGAAAGTTTGTGTTTGTTTTTGCAAAAAAGTTTACAGTTGAAATTTAAATGTTTATCAGATTGTTGTTAGAATTTTTAATAAATTTGTCTCAATCCTTTT